CCATCAAGACGCCTGCCATTTGATATAAATAAATAAATTGAAGAAGCTAAGACTTGAGCTAGCAATTAACAACCGCAAACAGGAGTTCCAAGAAGTAGAGTATTAAGAGTTGTGATAGGCAAGGGTGTTGAATAAACCACCGTGATTATCCGAAAGAAGGAAAGGGAAACGTGCGATCGATAAAAGTCCAGTGTGTGCAAATGAGTGGAAATGTCAAGACGGTTTGTATGGGTCACTTGGGCAAGAAACGAGACAACTGCAAGATAAGGAGTAACGATAACCTCGTGTAGAAATGACAGGTTTAGGTGTGAGTCATTGTGACAAAAATACGAAAATCGACGTACCTTCATGAAGAGTATTGTCAAAGGGTAATACTGGAAAGTGTGGAAAGGAACGTCCGTCAATCTAGATCGGAGCTGTAAATATTAACTGCCAAGATGAGTATTTCAGTGAGATAAGTTGGACGAAGGAGATGACCCAGACAGTTTCCTCACGAGCGTAACCATGACGAACTTTTGGAAAATTCAGAGAGTCGTGCTTCCTACGTTTGGCTGCAAGTTGTCTAACAACATGAATACTAATATTGAACAAGTGATCAGTCATACAGAATTCGCATGAATACTCCTTAGTTGGTACTTTTTTAATGCTAGCAGGCTAAATGTTGGTGCTTCTTCTCCATTACTTGGCTATTTAGAATATACCATTTATCATGCCATGTTACATCCCTTTTCATCGGAGAGCTTATAAAGATTCCCATTTATGATATTTTGAATTATTATAAATACTTGGTAAATTGAAATCAGTACCTTCTCTGTTTACACACATAATCTTGAAATCCGCGCATTTCATACATGTGAACTCTACTGCGTTTATGGGTAACTAAATCTAAGTTTATAAATTACTTACAATTGTCAAAGCATTTATTTAACTAACTCCAAATTACTCTCACTTCATGGACTTCCAAAATTTCATTAATAATATACCAACTCTTTATTCTAACCGGGTTAATTAATTTACCTGTCTGTTAAACATGATAACTATTAATGCCCGCAGTCACTGATAAACAATTTTAATTCACAAACAGCAAACTGATAACCAATGGGGAAATTGCCGATATTGTCACTCAGACCATAATTAAATTTACCCATAAAACTGAAAATAGCAATGTGCACGCAACATAATTTATTCTTAATGTCACCGAAAGGAGTTCTAATAGAACACACTTCAGAAAGAGATAAATCCAGGGGTAGACATTTTGAGAACGAGAAGAAACCCAGGCCAAAGCATGCGGAAATAGTCGTTTGTGGACATCCTCATATCGTTAAACGGTTCATCCGCCAAGTAAGGCTGCTTCAATTAGCTTTAGTCTCTTTAAAGGTTAATAAAGAAAAGGACCTACTCAAACAATACAATATTTCGTTCTCATCTGGAAAAGAGAAGTTAAACCACTGTAAAGCAGATCTTTTTCTCTGCCTTTTTGATGTTTGCTCTAGCAAAAGCCTTAAATACTTGAAAGACAAGGTAAATGTATAACTTCTTTGCCAAATTAACTTTTCCTAGGTCATCCCTAAACTAACAAAGATGGAGGACAAGTTGACTGTTGCAGGAATGGGGGTTGAGAATCGAAGATTAATGGGATCAAGTGAGACCAACTTTGGTTCTTGCATGAAACTGGCGAAGGATCTTAACTGTCCCGGCACAGAATTGATTTCAGTCGATGCAGTAAGAATCACCTCTCCATCTTAGATAATTAAATCTTAACCCCTAGAAACAACTAATTGCTGGAGCTTATGCACTCTACGCCCGTGTTTATCCGAATGATTTTCGTGAGCGTCAGTTGAATTTAATCGAGAACCCCGCTGAAAGACGGAAGGCCTCCAGAGAAAGGAGTCGTACTAGAGCGAAGAGCATGACCAATTTCGTTATTGAATTTAGTTGAATGGCTGGAAATTATTATACTTAAGCCGTTTCCCAACAAGATGTATTTTAACTTACGTGCTTCAATAAAATAAAAAGGCTGCTATGAAATACATGGGTTAGAGTTTTTGACGGAACATTAAATAATAAATTATGAAAATTTAAATTTTAAGTCTAAAAATTCTTAAATTTATTTATTTCAAATGGCAGGCATTTTGATAGCTATCATTAACCATTTAGCTGACTTCGGGCTTCACAGAGGGAAGGTTCATCTAAGTAGCAGAAAGTCGAGGGTTGGGGAACAGAAGAGCGATTCACCGATGTAACAGACAGACAGACACACAAAGGTTGGGAAAAAGGTAAGATGAGTACTGTGAAGGGGTCGAATAT